TTGACAAAACACTACAGTATTGCTTCATAAATCATTGTAGTTCCAGGATAATATTGTTATGCAACTCTAGCAAACAAATGTTTGTTTTTGTGATACCATAAAATGCTAAGTTTAACATTTAGTAGTTATTCTCTTTAATATTCGGTTTGCGTAATGGTTATTGGCAGAGATATGAATTGAAGGGTATAGGGTTTGAGGTACATATAAAAGTGACGTTTGGTTCTGTTTTTCTGTTCAAAGAGTGGAACACAGCCTTTGTGGTGACAGATACTGTTGCCTTCCTTCTGTTTAAAAAGTTGGGACAATCTTACATGAATCTTAGGGATTTCTGATCTAGCCATTTAGTCCATGTGAGCATAAGTGCCATTCTGGTTGAAAATTCAAAATTCCATTAAATCTGAACCCAAAAAGTTTTTGTAAGAAGAACTACCTTTGTGTTCTTACATTTAAGAATAGTTTGAGCTGCAAGTTTGTGGTTAGAGTTTTAAAAATGGTAACTTTTTTTCATCCTATAGGTCTCTCAGTTAGAAAAGGATATTCTTCCACTGTATACTAGCCTTAATGAGTCTGAGTTTGATAGCTGTTTAGATATAATTGTTTTAATATCTCAAACTATCATTGTTTTAATATAAATATAGGTTCTACATATTTTCATGGTGAATAATACAATTAGAAGTTTTATTATTACACATAAAATATTCACTAATTTGTCATTCAAATTCCTATTTTCAATGATATAACTAATATTTTGCTCTACATCATGCTAGGACTCAGTGAGTACAGCAAATATCAATGCAACAATAAAAAGTTATATACAAAATGACTTAGCATTTTCTATACATTTAATTAGGATCCATCAACGTTAATGATTCAATACATCTCACTGGATGAATAATAGCACTAACTTGTCAACAGCTGAATTTTCTGCCTTGCCTGGAACATCACCTTTCGAGCTCTTTCTTCCTTCTCTGCCATTTGGGCTTTCGAAGCTTCTTCATCTTGAGTCAGCTTCTGCAAATTAACAAGTTCTTTAATACTGCGTAATAATTTTAGTGCATTAATTACCAAAACTCTTGTGAAAAGTATACTTTTTTTGTGTATCTAATCAAACTAAGTTATTTAAGTATATAAGTCTTTATTTGGCAAATTATTAGTAAAAGTAAATAATAATATTTCATTACCTTCTGTAAATCACCTGTAAACTGATTCTTACACATACACAAAATGTTTAATTCGAAAGTTCTGTATCAGTTTCATTAATAAATGGTTATCGTTTGCAAGATTATGTTAGTTTCCGAATCGTTACAACTGTATCTGAATCCCTAAATTGTATGGATATTTGTGCCCAGATATATAGTATAGCTTGAGTTTTGTAATGATATCAGTTTAGTATGTGAAGAATACAGTACACACAAGAAACTATTCAACTATATATATATATATATATATATCTTAACTAATTAAATATAAATAATTTTATGGTTGTTTCAGTAAACTCAATAGAAAATCAATCAGAAATTATCAATTATGTATTCATGATACATTATTCTTATGGCAGAAAAACTATTGTTTGTATTAAATTTTGTACGGTGGAAGCTGTATTCTGGAATGACTACAAGGTGAAAAAAACTGACACACCACAGTTGGAGCTTTACCAAATACCAATACACGATATTTTTCACTGATCAAGGACAAACAAACACATCACTTTAAACATACATTTTAACGTACAACAGAAATAATTGTTTTCTCATACGTGTTTTTATATTAAGGTTAACCTTTCATGGTTGTGTAGGTCAAATAATATTACGGAAAGAAAAAGTTAGATCTGGAAAAGCTGTCCCACCAAGAGAAGAATAAATAGGATTTTCTAAACATACATCATAACAAAAACATTCCCTTGTTTTTATGTATCACAAACCATGGCCTGTGTTAGGCTTAGCTGTCAAAAGTATTAAATTGTATGCTCAGAAATTAATTTTTTTATTTTTCACTATAATCAATTAACATTTGTTAGAGAAAATGAAACAAAATAGTGCGATAAATAAATTTGTATAAACTTATTTGCAGGGTTGTAGGTAATATTTGTGAAGATTATTCTTGAACAAGGCTATACCACTTCTGTAATTCTTTCTACATAAACACTAATTTAACAATCTCTTCTTGTTTAGTGAAAGGCATTAGCTTCAGGCAGAGGAATGATTTTTTCAACAAGTAAGTAGAAAATGTTATCCTGAACCAACATAATTATATTCAGATATACTTGCGACTATGGTAACGACAAAAAGATCAGTCCCTAACTCTACATCTGTCTTCCACCACTGATGGCCCTGGGTATAGTCTATTGTACAGTTTCTATTCGGAGCCTTTTTCCCAATACGAGATAAATGTTACCTTTGTTTTTATGATTTCAACAGCCCATCAACTATGTGCAGATGAAAAGCACAAATTTCCATTTGTATCCTGCATCGAGAGGAAGAGTAACTAGGGTGTTCACTACCCTACATCCTGAATGAACTGTATGTAATTAACACCTAATCTTCATACAGATGGTACAGTTCCTCTTTGTACAGTTAATCCAAGTTCACCGTCACATTTCAATAGCCTGTACATCATGTCATATATTGCTCATCTTGCATTTTACAGTTTGTTCAAAGATGTCATCTAAGAAACATTCATGAGCATCATTTATACTTGTAAACTTTGCAGAATAATTCAATTTTAGCCAACTTGCAAATCACCACACTTCAACAAGATCAAGAGCTTTAAACTATATAGAAATAAGTCACAGGGATGGCCAAAAACAAGATAATTAAATATACAAAATGTAACGCAGATCTCAAACAGCCCTTTGTTATGTGAAGAGTACGTGCGACGTTGCTTATGGCGTGTGATGTAATGACGAGTTAGTGCTCTCACATGTAGCTTTCATTATTATCAACACTGTGCTGTATGCTTCGTGTTAAGCAGCTTTATATGGGTTCTTTATCCAAGACTGCTGCACAAACAGCATTTTCTTAACTTATATACCCAAACCTAATTTAACATGAACTAAACACAGTTAAAATCTGGACGATAAATACTCTCCTACTTACACAACAAGACAGTTAAGCCTATGCAATTTTAGCACGGAAGACAGACTCTAAGGTACTCCCATCACATGTACATACTTATTATATCTTAGGTTCAGCCATTCTTTAATTACTAATTTCACTCTACACCATGTCAAATGTGATGAATTAAACATTCTTAAGAAAAATATTTTTTTTTTTACACAAACCTCCTTTAATCCATCAATTTCCTGTTTCAAACTGTTCTTCTCTTCCTTAAATTGTTGCTCGAGAGTTTCACGAACTTTTTGACAAGCTTGTTCTCGGGAAGCTTCAGCTGCTTCTTTACTGATAAAATTTTCAGGTGGGTTTTCAGAAACTTTAGCGAGGAGTTCATCATATTGAACTTTGAGTTCGTTGAACTGAGTTTTGTACTTTCTAGCAATCTTCTTTACCTGTAAATGTAATTTTAAAATATTAATCAAATGTTTTAACTATTTCTGCATCCACAAAACTACATTTGATGTAACATGAATTTAACATTTTTTTTTAAACTCAAAGTTTTCACACATTTTTAAAATATTCTTGGATTGTTTTCTGATAAAAAGAAACTTAACTTAAAAACCTTTCTTTTTACAATGAACCCAATGTATATATATAGTTTTTGAAACAGCTACTGGCAAGATAGTAGATTTATCTTACTGAGATGACATTAACTTAGATAATGCAACCAAATCATTACTCAGTGGAAAAACTAATTTTGCAATTCCAACCAGACTAGATGACAACACAGAAATAAACATTTTATCATCATTACAACAAACTTTCCACAAAATAAAACAAAGAGAGAAACAGTCTTTAAAAAATCAGAGTGGAAGCAGTAGAGATTCATCAGAACAACGAAAAGAACATCATACTTCCAAACTCAACTTTTGATCATCCTAAAACATCAACAGTGAAAGGACAGACGATGAGTACAAAAAACAGCTATGGTGAAGTAAGAGTAACGGTAGTCTTGGCTCTAATGTTTATGTATATATTTGAACTTAAAACACTTAACTCTTGGTAAACAGGAGGAAATATAGGCCCATCAATCTGGTACAGATTCCTAGATGACGTACTTGGAGTGTGGAACACTAATTTAAAGTCTCTAATTAGTTTCAAAAGCATTATTGAATACTGTTTATCCATTCGTAAGAGATACACTTACTTAAGTCATAACAGGTAAAAATATAGATACCATCATTCATGTTAAGGATGGGGAAATTGTTACTGAAATTTTTTGTTTGTATTTCCACTCACACCATTTTCCTGGTTACCTACATTGGACTGATAAAAATTGTAATAATGATCAAGTATGGAAGGACACTATGGAAAATTTGCTGACCCATTTAAGGAACTTATGCTAAACATAGTAAGAAATTCTGATAGAGAAAAAGAAAACAGACATGTTCCCTTGAACCATATAAATAAAAAAAATACCGTATACAAGTGATAATATCAGCACATTTAACCAAAGAGAATAATTAGAACATTAAAGTTATCTATTAAAAAACCAGGCATATCCCTTAAATTATTAATAACAAGTTCAGCATACAAGTAAGAATTACAATGTTAAAAAACAACAGCAAAGTCACTAAACATAGACGACACGATCGGTGCCATTGTGAGAATGTTGTTTATAAAGTTAAAATGGCAGATGTTCTAGTAATTATATAGGAGAAACTTGGTAAATTATATATGATTGAATATCAGAACACCTACACAACATTCAAGCATATAAGATTTTATCACAATCTCATCTAAATGTCATAGTTCGTTTTGAATAGAAGATTAAAGAATTCATTTTAATCAAGAAAAATAAACCTAATATGAACAAATAAAAAACATTGGTCTACAACGTAGAGATGTCAATGTAATTCTTAAGATTTTAATACGTTTGAACTTTAATGAAATCTTTATGTACTTTTATAATGGTTAAAATATATATTTCAATTTTGTTTTGTGCATGTATTGATATAATAGGATGAAATAATACTTACAGATAAGAATAAAGATGTATTTTACTTACATAACATATACTAATCAAAATCCTATGACTTTAATATTTCACAATCTTTTAATGTTCTTATTTATACTTTTATCATGTTTACAAAAGTTCCATCTTTTTTTGTCAATTTTCAAACTGAAGGTTTGTTTTCCTTATGTTTAAATTTATAAAACCATTTTCTTCCAGATGGAGTTGGTATTATCTTAAATAAGGTTTATTTTGTTGGTTGTTTATGTAAGCTGAACGTTGCACGTGATGTCTCACTGTTAGAGACAAAACGTTGTACCCAAAACAATTATCTCACAACAGCTGTATCAAAAAACTTATAAAGAAAAAATCTTATTTTAAAATAAATTATTAACATACTAATTTATTACAATTAAGCTATTAACTCTCTCGCTACAGGCTCGGTCAAATCGACTGAGTTCATGACCCCATATTAATCTTTACAGTTTCCATACTAATAGCTTCTAATATGTTTTGTGTATCATTCAGTAAATCAGGACTTTTAAAGAAGAATCTTTACTAATAATTCTTCCATGAATATGTGGAGTCAAGGTGACTTCCATATTAAAATTAAGATGAATAAATGGGCTGCCACTGTTAGGTTGATTTTATCTTAACTCTCCATCTATGGGCTTAGTTGATTCAACCTAAAAAAGTGGCACCAAATTGACCTGTAGAGTTTCCATACTGTAACTTCTAATGTGTTTTGTGCATCTTAACAAATTTCACAAGCATTAAGAGTCATTTGAAGACAAAAAAATCATAATTTTTAATAAAGTATTTTTACTACAAATTTCTCCATGAATGTATGGAGTCAAAGTGATGACCACTATGAGTTTATTTCCATATTAAAATTAAAAATACTTTTCTAAATATTAAAAAACTTAATTTTCATTTGCATAATCTCTAAAACTTCCTTAATATATTTCAAACATTTTTTTCAGTAAAAATTAATATTTTATGTTATTTTCTCTATCCTAAATTGACTGACCTTGTAACCACCGAAAAAGAAAATCTAAATAAATATAAATTACTCTTTTATTCATTTTAGAATTATTTCAAATTGTAACATGAAACTATATGTGTTTATCCTAAATAGCATTAAGCTCATAACAGTATACATCTGTTTATACTTAAATTTTATTGCTCTTTGAACCACATCTAACTGATATTCCCACCATAAAATTTGTAAATCACTTGTTAAATGTGGAGCTCACATTACCCTATCAAATTACATAATGCACAAGCTACTTGTGAGTTGCTCGTCTGCATACATTTATTATCATTATTTATTTTACCTAATCTAACCTGAAAGGTTTCTAATTTTTACATTTTAGTTACTTTTATAATAATAAATAAAGAATACACATGAAAAACAAGAAACAATGTACTTATCTGGGTCTTTTGTTTTTCTGTTGACCGTCGATAACACTTAACCCTACTTTTTATACAAATGGTACTACTGCACTAAATAATTCTTTATTTAATTAAATAATGCAACAAATAATACAGAATAATAACATGCAAAAAACTGAGAATGTCCCACAATTACCATAATGTTTCTGGTTTTCTTTACCACAAGAGCTGTTAAAAATTCAGCTAAGCTTGTTGATGCGTTTCCCATGAGAACAAAGTTTTAAGTAGAAGTGAAAAAGGAAATTTTCTGTACAGTTAACAATGTAATATAATAATTCATTTGACAGATTAAAACCTTGGCTTTCTATTGGTTATAAATAATATAGTATTAAACATCAGAGAGAACTACTGACAATTTGTGAAAGAGAGGATATAACAGGGGGGTGTGGCAAGAGATATCTGATGGCTCTGTAACCAAATAAGATGAAGGCTATAAAGATTATGCTTTGTCTGAGCAGTGACAACATTATAATGAGTAGTTTATATTTAATTTTGTACTTCTTGGAGAGATAGTAAATAAATTAAAGAGGAGATGCCTGGAGAGAATGTCACAATTCTCATACTAGGTAAAATTCAGGAATATTGCCATATAAAATTAAGAACTTAAGACTACATACAATTAAAATTTGGATTATTAGCTATGTTTTTATGCCAAATTTATTGGTATACCATAATAAAAAAAAAGTAGTTTAATTAGTCTTTGAATGTAACTCGTTAAAACCGTGCGACTTGTACAGAAAAAGATGCCTGTAGCGAAAGTGTTAACCACTAGCTCAAACAACAAAATATTATAAAAACTTCAAACAAATAATACTCACATCAAATATAGTTTTCTTCTGCTCTGAACTTTGATTGACTAATGTTTGTAGTTCCTGGCGTGTCTTCACCACCTCTGTCTTCTTCGTCTCAGCTTCAGACCTGGCATTCTGAAGCTCCTTCTGCAAAGATGCTATAGAACTGTTGAGACGATTAATTTCCATTTTCTGTCTGTTAACATCTTCCGTGATGCTGCCAAGTTTTGTCTTCATAGATTCATTTTCAGAACTAATTCAGTAATAAAAAAATGTACATTTTAACTCATTAAGATGCAGCCTATTTGAACACATCACTAAAATGAGGTTTAGTTTACTGCCTACTAGTGTTTTAGATTTAGCTTAGTATTAAAATAATGACAAGTTAGGCTTAGTTTAATAATACTATCACAACACCTTAATAAAACTATTAACATATTTAGGTTTTTCCTGGTTACAATAATTTTAATAACTTCTCATGGCCAAAGAGTTACATTTCAGAATTCTGGTGGAATTACCGGCTTTCATCTCATGATTACATTACAATACTAGCTATCAACCCAGAGCTGTACTACAGTAGAATATATTTCAACTAAGTGTGGGACTATATTATATACTAGGTTTCACTTCAGGGTTACCCTACTGCAGTGGTCGCCAATTATTTTCTACACTGGATCATTTCAAATGGTAATCATAAAGCCAAGGGCTGGTATTGATCATGGTGTGGGCAACAAATCAGGCTTTCAAGAGAGTGATGTGGCCTGGGCTACCTACTGAAGACCAGCATATTACACTTTCAAAAGTCACAACTCAGGATCACAATAAAGCTTTATGTTTCACTTCTGGTTTTATAAAGGAGTAAGCTAAGGTATTTCAAATAATTCATGACCATTCAACTGCTACAGTCAGTATAAGAAACGTAAGTGATTCTTACATCCGTTACTACCTCACCTTAACCTTTTCATCTCTTCTGGGCCTATTTCTTGAGATTTTTCTAAAAGCTGGTTTGTCCGTGTCTGCCATCTTTTAATCTCTTCTCGTAAAGCAAAATTCTCAGTAGTCAGATCATCGACTTGAGAGTTAAGGTCTCTGTTCTTGGACTGGGTTAGGTTCTTCAAGTATATAA